GTTAGAATTCTTGTGGGCTCTTTCAATATTTCTTGAGCACCTTGGGAAAGAAGCCCATGTAAGGAGGCTAAGCCAGTCCTAGTATATTCTGGAAAGAATTGTTCATGAATCAAGGAAGATGATTCTTGGAGAATTCTGGCAGTCTCTTGAAGGATAATGAGATACAAGCCTACTTTTTGGAACAAAGAGACACTATTGAAATTCGGACATTTGTCACTGAATTAACACCACTTTACTAAATACCCACCATGTCTAGTATTGGGCTATGTACTATGAGGATCCCATAGAATTTATGAGCCCCCTGACTACAACAAGTCTTTTGCATTCTGGGTAGGGACAGAAGACACACATAAAGCAATCAAGAAGATAACTTTCATATGTCAGCATTATAAATAAAAGCAAATTTTATACTACAGATTGAAAATAATGAAATGCTAATTGTGTAGAGTGAAAAAAGAATAATCTCATTAAAATGGAATGAAAGTGATTTGATTATTGACAACTTGGTACTCAGGGTGAAAGTGACTCCCATCCTTCCTTCAGCTGGCACTTTGGATCCCCATTGAATGGGCCATTTTCCTCTGCAGTACTCATTTCTTCCTTGTCTCACTGAACCTTTTCTTCTATTTATCCCCTTTCCAAATGAGAAGAACTTGGAATTAATTTCATTCACCAAATACTGAGATCTGCTGTGTGCCATGCATTGTGGCAGAAGCTATGCATCCCATGGTAGGCAAAAATAGCCCTTGTAATCTAAATGGAAAAAAATATATGTGGTAAATATTGTGTTTGGGGAAATAAAGGAAGTGTCTCATACTCGTGCTGGGTGGCCTAACCCAGAACAGGCTCTGGAAGCCTCCCCAAGGAAGAGATGTTCAGGAGATCAGCAAGCATCCATGAAAAGTTCCTCAGGTTGAGACAGTGAGTAGAGAGTACAATTTATAAATCTTTCCTACTCCCTGCAAGCTGCTGCTAAAGTCATCAAACACTGAGATGAAGTGGGGGAGGACATGCTTGACCCACGTTCAGTTTTGATTCAGTTCACATACACAGTACACCCAC